AGGCAACAGTAAGGCTTTGCCTGGATGAAACTTGTTTCCACGGGGCATAGAACTCATCTGTAAATTGTTGATCTATTTTTATTTCTTTCACATAAGTTCAGAAAATTTTTAATGATCGTACAAAGTCAAGAAACACATATGGCAGTTGGACCATCTAAGTCGAGAGCTTTTCATTTTAGGTTAAAGCATTGTATGAGGAGACTATGTTCCTTTTGCATAATAATAAATGATGACCACCCCAGCCTCCACTCTTTTGATTTTGAGAATTAAATATGCATATTTCTTAACCCATTTCCATGGAGACTGTCAAAATTCCTAGTGTCCATCCTGGAAATGTATGAGTCAGTATCTGTGGCCTATGCCTGGCTTGTATGTCAGAATTGTGATATCACCTGTAAAATGTTCAATGTAACACCAGGTATATAGGTCTATAAGTCTGATGAAGAAGACAAACTTTCAAGCATAAATAATAAGAATCTTACTTGAATCTTATTTGAAGCTATTTCACTAGTCAGGAGGTATTCACTCCAGGTATTCATGTGCAATATTATGTAAATTTCAAAGATATGAATAGAGATCAGTGAGCTTTTTTTCATAAGCTACAAAGTTTTGATCTTTGGATCTAGAATGACATTCAAAGTCCAAGTGATAAACTGTTGGCTCTCGTGGCCTAGCTTGGGGAAAGTGACTGGGTCAGAGAGGCAGACCAGAAGCTCACATTCTCATGGGGTTCTTCTCCTACAATGCAGCACCTAATGTAATGTTTGTTTGTCAGAGATATAGGTCTTGAACTCCCTCCACTGATTTTCTTTTTAAACTTCCCAGGAGACCTTTTATGTCTTTTGTTCAGCCTTCTTTTCCTCATGAAAGAAAAGGCTATCCTGAGGGGCCATTTCACTCAGTACATTGTAAGATATATCATTACAGCAGCATCCCTTTTTGGATGGTCATTTATTCTCTGCTGGATTTGGTGAATATGTGATAGGATCTAAAGTACATTTGGTGAGGATCAATACTGACAAGAAAAGGAGCCTAAACCAATGACTGGAATCTTACAAGCAGAAGGATTAAGTACTGCTGATCTATTAATAAAGTGGCTAAAATTACCAATGATATATATTTAAATTTTACTTTATGATTTTAATTCATGTAGCACAAAATGGTAAATGATGTGTGGTAGGTTATATGCTCATTATATATACGTGCACTCCTTTTTTTGAAACATCACAGAGAGTGTAACTCATTAACCTCTTAATTTTACTTCATCAGGTTTCTTTTATTTCTAAATTAAAAAAAAACATAATAAAAGAGATTCGTAACATGCCACTCCCTCACTGAAATTTAGTTGGCATTAGGACTACAGTGGATGGTATATTTGGAAGAATCCATATCATCTAGAAGATAAACCTCTGGGAATATTTGTGAAATATCTCTATGAAATTTAGCCTTTGGAAATGTCTGGGATGGATCATTTTGATTAGTTGAATTCCCCTAGGAAAACTCTTATAACTCTAGGCAAGACAATAACCAGCATATGGATATTGACCTCCATAAAATGGAGAGAGTGGCTTGAGCTCTAGCATTTTGCACACTTTATTTCTCAGTTGTGTATGTGATATAAGCAGCTGCTTCATGCTTTTTCCAGTTTGTCTTCCATACTATAATAGGTTGTATGTTTGAACTGTGTTTTGAAACAAACCATGTTCCCAAATAAGGAACAAAGTTTCCTGACTTGCTTTTTTCACTGTAGTTTATCACAACAAAAAGAGAGATTGGGGCCACCCATACAAATCTGAAAGCAGTGTCTTCACTGATGTGGTTCTTCAGAATATGGAGGCTCGCCAGCTCTCCAGGCAAGATGGAAAGGAATATTGGATTCTGCATCATTATGATATCCCCACTGAATCCTGAGTTAAGAAGACAGAGGTTAAGATTAAATACAAACACTAACTTGTTCCCATGATTTTCTCTTACTGCTTGTATCAATTAAGCTATTTTTATCAGTAAGTAATTTCCTTTCCGCCTTCGTTTTAAAGTAGCACAGACTTTACAAGGCACAAGGAGCCTTCAGAAGTCATTTACTCATCCTCCTCTTTCCACTGTTCATCTCTTCCTGTGTCAGAGGCTTCGGCAGCACATACGTCTTTATTTTTTCATGGATCTCCCTCATTACCTATCATGTCTCTTTAATCAGAAGGCTATTGTTGGATAGACATTTGTCTACTTGTTTATGAGCCCCATCTTCTCTTCACAGGATCTAGGTTCAATTCCCAGCAGACATAGTAGGTGACAGCGATCCATAACTCCAGTTCTAGGGGATCTGATGCCCTCACCTGGCTTCTGCAGCCACCAGGTACATACATCATGCAAAGACATGCATAAGCCAATATAGTCACAGAAATAAAAATGTTAAAAAGAAGACCCTCACGTCATCTCTATTTGTTTAAGACTATGCTTTCCACAGATGTTTAAGCTGAAGGTTTGCTAATGGGTTTATTTTTAGTGCATCTAGTAACAGATTTCAAAGAAAATTCAGTTCTGACAGGTTGCTTTGAGTTCTCTAACCACACCCTCTCCTACTGACTCAGAGAACCTGTGCAGACTCTCCTGAGAGAAGCAGTACCTGTGGGCTCTAGGCACATAAAGCAAGACAGTTTTATTTCATGGCTGCCACTCTGTATAAGGGACTCCTGTCTCTTGCATGCAGTAATAAACTTCTATATCCTTGGTACCATGCTGCTGATTTTAACTAAGAAGAGTATGTCAATGTTTTATCTGAGTTATTGAAAATCTTTCCATGTCTACTACTGTTTGTCAAATATATGGGGTAGAAATACCCACTCATCCAGAAAATAGAAGGTTCTATGTGCTGGAACAGAAAAGCTGAGCTCAGCCTTGTACTGTCTGAGGATAATTTGCATCTGAGGCTAATATTCCCTGGTCCTGCATCCACAATGGTGTCCATCGAAGAGAGTGCTGTGTCCCATTAGCTGAAAGCCATCAGCTTCAGAATTCTTGATTACAAGGGTGGAAGTAAAATAATCAGTTTGAATTCAGCTAACAGGGTTATAGTCCATTTCAATTCAAAGCCAACAGAATCTAATGCACCAGGACACACTGTAGAAACTTGGTAAGTGAGGAGAGACTGTTGGGCTTTTTATAGTATGTATACTATAACTTGAATTTTTTTTTCTCTTTAGAGCCCATGCTCTCTCCTTGAATACTGTGAGAAGCCCATGGAGTTTGCGTATGTATGATCCCTGTTTCTGTTTGTCCAATCTGTAGAAGCAGATGTTAATGTCTATGAGAGCAAACTGCTGTTACCAGGAAAAGTGTAAAGTTTAATTGAGATGAAAAGCATATGAAAACTTGCTAGACAATGACAAGAGCAAAGTTTCTTTTCTGTCATAGTCTAGACCTTGAGATTAGGAACTTCTCGTATCTGCATAAGTCTACCTTTCTCTTATGATGTTATGTTAGTGGTTTACAGAGGAGATCTGCATGTCCTTATCATAAATTAGCTAACTCTGTATACCTGAAGAGCAGATGTATAAAATTATATATGTACTTCAAAATAGAAGTCAGTGCATATTGGATAAATGATTATTTATTTTTTCAATAATATTTGTGGCTTAATGGTGAAACATTAACATCAGATAAATAATTGGTTTTTGGTAGATAAGGCCATGAGTTGTTTTATAACCAATTGATTAATGATGCACGCTTTTTTATTGTCTCCATATGTAGATTAGATTGGCACAGATGTTGGTATGTTCTCCAGTCTGGCCTCAAACTCATGAGTCTCCTGCTTTTGTCTCTCCAGTTCTGGGTGTACAGATGTGAATCTCCACTCCTTGCAATGATACTTGATTTATTTATGTTTCTCTTTTTACTTTATACATAATTCTGACTTTTTAATTAATTTCTTATATATACTTTCTGGTTTCAATACGATGAAGTCCTAGCAGGTTCTGTGATTTCTCTTATCGCTATTGATTTTTCATTCATAACCAAGCTTGTCTTTTTCACCCTTTGCATAGCAACTATCACTGGCTGATGCAGTATTCTATTGGCCCCTATAAAGTCATTAAGTAGATTAGGGTGGCTATGTACCCTTCAGGAGAGACGTACCTGTTCAGGATGTCAGAAGCCCATCTTAATCTAGTTTCAATACTGCTGATTTATAAATTACACTAGCATTTGTATTTCTTCAATAAAAACTCATGGCAGTGTTTGTCTACAGAAAAGACTTCATGAAAATCATGTTTTTTGCCTTCCATTTCTTCATAGTTAGACCCCTCTTTCAATTTCCTGAAGTTGTGGGGAGGCTACTTGAAAGTTTCTACCTGTTTTCCTTTGTTTTGAGATTAAAGTTGCTCTGATTTCAGTCTTAAATTAATGTTCACCTGGATTTCCACAGTGAATTCTGGGCTACTCTTTGCATCTTAGTCCCTGTTTATCTCAGAAAATAGAGGCCAAATTTATGAGGTCCTGTTCTCTGTCTTCAGTATCACAGTGGCTTTGGAGCTGACTAATATTGAATACATTTAGCCTCGATTCTCTTTTTTCGTTTCATCTTTTCTTCTGTCTATGTTTTCTTTCTTTTATGGCATGTTTTATACCTGTTTCTTTTGTTGTTGTTCTGAGTTTTCAAACATATACTCTCATTTCCCTGAGTATGTCAATCTGAGATAGCTCTACTTATGTTTCTACAGAAATCAATTGATTTAAATATGTCTTGGATTTTAACCCAGATCTGCTGATAAAGCACTTAGTACTTTTCTGTTTGAGAGCTGTAAGACAATCTTTTTCAGTGATTGTTCATGTTCCCTGTAATAGTATTTTTGACTGTTGATTGAAACCAGCTACATTCACAGACACTGCACAGGCATTTGCTTTTTTATTTTCTGACTGCTTTGCATGGGCCCCTACAGCCCAGCCCAGCTGCTAAGAATTTATAAACCAGCCTTTGTAGTGAGAACTGAACTGCATCAGACAGGAGGGGGAGCAAGATGAAGTCACAGACCCAGGTCCTCATATCCCTGCTGCTTTGGGTGTCTGGTGAGAAACTCAAAATATGATTATCTTTGCAGAGTCACTTTTTGATAGACAAAAAAACTTAGAGTCTGCCAGGCTCAATATTTCTTACATAATAATACACTGACAAGATGATAGTACAAAGATATTAAATAACAAATTTCAACTGTATTACAATCTGTGTTTGTGTCAATATTCATGTTCATTGTGTATTCCTGATTGCAGGTGCCTGTGCAGACATGGTAATGACACAGTCTCCATCCTCCCTGGCTGTGTCAGCAGGAGAGAAGGTCAACATCAGCTGCAGGTCCAGTCAGAGTCTTTATTACAAAGGTTATTTATTACAAAATAACTTATTGTCCTGGTACCAGCAGAAACCAGGGCAATCCCCTAACCTGCTGGTCTACTGGGCATCCACTCAGCAAACTGGGGTCCCTGATCGCTTCACAGGCAGTGGATCTGGGACAGATTTCACTCTCTCCATCAGCAGTGTGCAGGCTGAAGACCTGGCAGTTTATTACTGTCTGCAGAGTGTTAGTACTCCTCCCACAGTGCTTCAGCCTCCAACACAAACCTCCTTGAGAGTCTCACCAGCTGCCTGCAGCACACACAGCCCTGGGCCTGCACACTTCCCCCTTCTGCCTGATAGCAGGTGTGCTAAAATCATGATGAAAAAGTTTGCAGAGCCCCTTACTAAATTATAGGTTTAATAATTCTCATATCTTCTTTATGAAAATACTTTATATGAATATGCAAAAAGAACTCAGTTTTATGTTTGCATTCCTTCTGATACATATTACCACAAACTGCTGCTTGAATATAAGAATTTTTTTTTCTGTTTACAATATTGGAGTTCTGATATCCATCATAGTGATGGTGATGGAAACTTTTTTCTATTTAGAGGCACTAGGAAAGAGTATGTTTCTTGGTTTTTCTAGATTATATAGTGCTTTCCTTTCTTCCTCTTTTCCTTCCTTTCTTCCTGTCTTCCTTCCTTGCTTCTTTCGTGGTGCCCATATCTCTGCTTATTCTTTTACTTTCCATAAAGCATTTTAATTTTTATTATATGTTAATTACCTATGTCTGCATGCATTTGAGTGTGCATTAGTGTGTCTGTGTGTGCATATTTATAAGTGTACATTTGACATGACATATTTGTGGAAGTCAGAGGAGAATTTAGATCTGAATTTTTTTCTGTTTTGTTTCTGGGGATCAACTCAGGTTTGACATCAAACTTGGCAAAAAGTGTCTTTGCATTTGAGTTATCTTTCTGCCTCTTAAAGTCTTTTATGGGTGTTAACTCATTGAATACAATTTCATGAAAGCAATGTCTTTCCAATAGATCATGTATTTTGACCATATGCACTGACCCTCATTTTGCTTTCCCTTTCCTGATATTTCTTCTTTCCTGTCATGACGTTCTCAGGAAAAGGGATTCACAGGACATCTGGGATTTCTGGAAGGCAACTTAGGTTTTATTTTTTTCCCCAATGTCTACAATAGAGCTAAATCTGAGGCAGAGATTGAGCCTCTCGAACTTCTTCCTCTAACTGCACCCCACTTTTCTTTGCTGCTTTTAATGTATCTCTCAAAACTCTGGCATGGTATAAAAGAGGCTTCACTGCTGTCATCACTTGGATATTTACCTGTCCTGGTTAAGGAGATCTCCTACTTGATCTTTATGAAAATTTACTGCTGTTCAGATGAATTAATGATTTCATAGAGCCTGATGATAATTTTGTACATTTCCTGTTTTGAATTAAATGTTTGAAGTTAAGACGTTAAACAGTTGATGGAAATTTATAGCTACAATAAAAACCTCTGTGAGCCTCCATATGCCAAGTGCATACATCTCACTGGAGAAATGTAAGGGCTGACACACATTTAGTGTCGCAAAGTAAACTTTCCTTTGGTTCAGTGGGTCTCAATATGCATTAGGGCATCTAGAAATTATTGTTTTAAACTTTAGATGAACTTGTGAATCCAGAGATATTTAAAGAATCTCTTAATGCATAGAAATGCAAACAATTGTCTGGCCATATAGCCTATGGCATGGACTTTGTTTACACATGACATGAATTATTATTGTTCTGTACCTACCATGAACCTTTTGGAATGCAATATGTTTAAAATACCATGCAATCCATTATCCTGCTAATTGTTGTGAGACAATTATTCTTCTGAGGTAAGGACTGTATGTTAAAAGGTATAAAAAGAACTAAATTAATAGAATAAACCTAAAAGCCCAATGAAATTAGCTTAATCAATAATTTGTAAATATATAAATATATGTAAATATGTATATACGTATGTGTGTGTTGGGCTCTGTAAGCAGATATCCCTGTGGCCTTTCCCCAGGGGAACTGAGAACCAGGGCATCAGGCATCTGTGAGGCCACCTCCAGAATTGGCAGGGACTTTTGACCACTTGCTGACCACCTGCAACCTGGTAGTTCTTTGCATGAGCTAGGTCACCTTCTAAGAGGACTTGCCTCTCCTCTCTCTCTTTCCCTCTCTCTCTTTCCTGCCTTTTCCAGAGACAGTCGTTCTGAACCTGCCCATCTTCCTCTACTAAAAACTCCCAAGTGGAACCTGTTGGTGGTGTGATTTATGAACCCGGTGAAGAACTCCACTGTGCTATCCTAACCATGTATTCGCAAGTAAATGTGTCCATCTGTTTTTTTTTTTGTATATATATATATATATGTGACATGAATGCATGTCAATTTGTATGTAAGGAGCTTCTTTTCTATCTTGTCTACTGATGTATGTATCAATATATACAGGACTATATGTGCGATCATTGAGCTGATACATTGGAAATGGCCACAACAGTTGATGAGGAATGACATTTCCCTGAGGACAGTCTGTATTTGCTGCAGTTTCCACAAAGGAGATGCTAGTTAAGATCAATGCCATCAACATAGGTTTAAAAAGCCCAAGCCTCTGCCAGCCAGTAAAAATTTGCCCCTTGCTTTCCAAACACTGACAATTGAGCTTTGATTAAGCCAGCTTCCTAGGGAGGACTCCATGGTAGATAATCCACTGTGTTGAGCCAGGTCTCAAAGACAGGATATGCTATTCCGGACCTAGTAAATAGTGATAAACTGCCCAGAATCCCTTCTTGGTTCCTGCAATCAAGTTCCTTGTTTCCAGCATGTTGCTGTGCAGGCTAGCTTCATTGAAAGAAGGGGGCTGAGATTCCTTTTTTACAGTTCTAGTTGTTTCTCACACCTGGAACAGTTAGCTCCAAGAGGCTTTACCTCAGCCAAGGTCTTCTTTCCAAACAGTCAAATGCTTCATGGCTAGGCTCTAACATTTGGAAGTAAGTAACCAGAGTGGACAAGCCAGGAGCCCTTTGTCAGTCAAATTAGGACAGCCTGCTGTGAAAAAATAGAAGCCCTGATTTCTTGCTTCAGCTGGTCTCCTTGAGGAGCTCCTGTCCCCTTCAAGTCTTTCTATATCCCTCTTCTTCTATAAGATTCCCTGCACTCTGCCCAAAGTCTGGCTATGAGTCTCAGCATCTGCTTTGATACCCTGATCTGTAGAGCCTTTCAGAGGCCCTTGTGGGGGGTTCCTGTCCTGCTCCCTGTCTTCTTCCACCTCTGATATCTATCCTGTTTGCCCTTCTGAATGAGGATTGAATAACTTTCTTAGGATCCTCCTTGTTGTTTAGCTTCTTATATTCACAACTGTCATACAGATCCAGCATTCATTTTATACTCATCCAACTCTGAGTTCCTTTTTAATTAACCTATCAAATGGGCCTGAAGAAACAGATACTCTACAAGGACCATGCATTGATAGGATCGAGATCCCTTCATCAGATGTAGCCCAAATGCCTCTTAATTTCCAAGCAGGTTCCCTAGTAAAAAGAGCAGGGGCTGTCTCTGACATGAACTCAGTGGCTGACTCTTTCAATCACCACCCCTGTGGTGCAGCCTTGCCAGGCCACAGAGGAAGAGGATACAGCCAGTCCTCATGGGACCTCTTGATAGGCTAGGGTCATATAGAAGGGGAGGAGGACCTCTCTATAAGTGGACTAGAGGAGCAGCATGAGAGAGAGGAGGCCTGGAGGAATTGGGAGCAGGAGAGGGAGGAGGCTACAGTGGGGAAACAAAGCAAATAAATTGTCATAAAAAATAAAAGTAAAGGGGCGGGGCAAGATGGCAGCGCAGGGAGGACTCTCATTCTGAGGAGCAGCACAGCAGGATTGGCACAGTGACCAGCAATCAGAACTCGCGGCCATAAAACACAAGTGGTTGTGTTTCTCAGGTGAGAGGATACCCCATGGTGGGGGATTCGATCAGCTTTAACTCACCCGGCTAATCCGCTGAAGAGATCCCCGTTCCGCCAGGCGCTTGGTCGCCAGCCCAGAGCTACCCGCCAGTGCGATCTGGTCACGGTCCCAGACTGAACTATGGGCCCACAACACCATAGACTGGATTTCCCAGTCGAGAGATAACCCCACAGAGCAGGAAACAATTGGGACCGACCCCAGGTTACCCAGACATCCCCTGGAAAAGACTCGGGTTCTGCGGGTGCCCCAGGAGCCAGCCCAGACCCAGAGCCGGGAGGGACAAAGGCACCTGCACGGAGCCCTGCCTGCGCGCGTGATTTGCCGCCTCAGATAGAACTGTGGGCACCAGGGCAACAGGGCACCAGACTGCGTGTCTCTGGCAGGAGGAAACGCCCAGCGGAGGGGGTCAGCAGCTCTAACGCTTAGGACACCCAGCACCAAAACACTTCCTGGACTCACGCAGACTCTAGTGCAGGCAGAAGTGCTGTGCTCTGCCGCCATTGTTGAGTTCCCCTGGGGCACTGGGACACACAGCTGCATCCTCGGACCTGCAGGAGCCGAAGAGCCATTACAGCAGCCCTCAGATACTGTGCCAGGGATTGGCCAGTTGTCCCTGGCTGGACTGCCAAAACTGTAGGAATCCCTGATCCTTCAGGGGGGCTGCACCCACAGCGTCTGGACCAGAGTGGTGCCTACAGCCGCCATCCCAGACAGAGACACACAGCTTCTGGTCCAGAGTGAGGCACCCAGCCTCCAGACCAGAGCAGCGCCCCCAGGTGCCAACTCAACCTAGGTGCACATTCTCCAGGTCCAGAGCAGAGCAATCAGCCTTTGGCCCAGAGACTTGCTGAGTGCACCTCCCACTTTCTCAGACAGAACTGTGCGCCCCAGGATAACAGACTGAGTTTCCCTGTTGGGAGAAAACCCCATAGCTAGGGAATCAGCAGTTTCTTCAAGAGGACTGTACATGGAAATTTAGTGAGCAGCAGCACACTAAATTTATAACAAGAAACCCAGCAGTGGGGCAGCTGTCTTGAGAAATTTTATGGGTAAGAGGAGATCCCCCCCTGCCTAACATAGACCACAGCTACTACTCAGGGCTATAAACCTGAGGTGAGCAGTAGCAACTCCGGAGAAACACTGGCCATACAGGGACCATAACCAAAAAGCAGAGGAGGACTCCTTCAGGAAAAATCATCTTCCGGCCAAGGGGATACTCCCTACCTCAGGACTCCAGGAAGCACAGAAACTA